GGGGGACAGGCCGCCTGCACAGCGGAGCCCCGTGGAGAGCGTCTCACCTGATGTCTGGGTAGTCGCGCACCAGCACCCCCACCTCCACCTGGATACTGGGCGTGTCTTCCAGCTGCAAGACTTCCGCCAAGTGGGGCACCACAGCGTCCAGCCAAGTGGCCTGCGACTCCTGGAGAGGAGGAGTGACAGAATCACACTAGCGCCCTGACGCCCCTCCCAAGCTTACCCTCCCTCCTCAGACCCTTGCCCCTCAGGACCTCAGTTTGCCCCAGGTGAAAAATGGGTGACACGGTTGGGCCTTTGGCAATCTGAAGAAACAAAATACATTGCCTCTGTTTTGCAGATAATCTGGGACTCCTAGACATCCCTCAAAACCCAGTCCAAGTCGGCGAAACTGTTACCAGTGGGGGGACACTGGGCAAAGGGTTCAAGGGGTCTCTGTCTTCTTTCTTATAACTCTGTGTGGATGGGCAAGTATCCCAACATACACTGCAGAAAGACAAGCAAAAGTGAGGGATATTGGAGAAACTCCAGACTAGGAAGCTTCTGAAATAGATCCGTGATTACAGAAAACAAAAAAAGCCTCACATCTGCCTAGTTGGCTCCAACTCAGAGTGACCCTACAGGACAGAGAACTGTGCCCCCAAAGAGTTGCCACAAATCTTTATGGAAGCAGACAAAAAATAAATAAAAAGACTCACTGCCATTGGGTTGATACCAACTGATAGGGACAGGGTAGAACTGCCCCCTGTGAGTTTCCAAGATGGCTAACTCTTGACAGGAATAGAAAACCCTGTCTTTCTCTCAAGGAGCAGCTGGTGGCTTAGATCTGCTGACCCGCCAGGTATCAACTCAGCTTGTAACCATAATGCCACCAGGGCTCCTTTATGGGAACAGACAACCTCGGTTTTCTCCCTCAGAGCCCCTGGTGGGTTTGAACTGCTGAACTTCCAGTTACCAGCACAATGCTGCCACCAAAGCTTCTTGGCTGATATTATAGTTGAGCACAGACATCAGCTGTTGCTTTTAAGTGCTTGGATTTGGGAAGACTCTCCTGCGAAAACCACCATCTGTCCCGAGGGGGGAAGATAAGGCTGTCTGCTCCCACAAAGACTGATATAGCTTCTGAAACCCGCAGCGCCAGTTCTGTCCTGTACACTCAGTCACAGGCAGGGAGCTGGTTCCTACTTGACCATTGGCCGTGCGTCCTGAGCCCAAGTCCTGAGCACCTGTGACATGGCTTCTGTCGGTGCTTGCAATACTTCCTGGACAGCAAAGATTAAAGGTGCCCTGGTGGCGTAGTGGTTACAAGTTGGCTGCGAACCACAGAATCAGCGGTTCAAGACCACCAGCCACTCCATGGGAGAAAGACATGATCGTGTTCTACCCCTGTAAAGAGTTATAGTCTCAGAAACACACAGGGCGTCGTTTGACCCTGTCCTATAGGGTCACTATGAGTCAAAATTGACAGAAAGGAATCGGTGCAGTTCTCTGAGACCAGGGTACTGAGGCCATCCAGCGGGTTCGGGGTGAGGGCTCAGTGAGACAAGCTTCTGGAAGGAAAATGCAGGGGCTTATAGTCTGGATGTAAGGGCCTGGTAACACAGTGGTTACAAGTTGGCTGCTAACCACAAGGTCAGCAGTTCAAAACCACCAGCAGCTCCGAGGGAGAAAGAGAAGGCTTTCTACTCCCATACAGAG